AAAAAGGGGAGCTTTTTTGTTAGAGCACTTGATAATATATTTATGTAGCCATTAAATAGTTGTATTATATGGTTAGTTAATAAAGAATCTATAATTGAATAAATACAACCAATTATACTATAATTCAAATTATAATTATAAAATGATTTTTTTATTTTTTCAAATCTTTTTGATTTTATATATATTTAATATTTAATAAATAGATTCTAAACTAGAGAATGGGTGTGCTGGGTTGTGTGGGCTCTAAACTAGCAAGTAGGGTAGGGTTTAAACTAGCGGGTAGTTGGACTCTAAACTAAACTAATGGGTAGGTTAAATCCTAAATTAATAAGTAGAAGTGTTTCGAAGTAATGTGTAAGTAAATTCTGTAATAGTAGGTGGTGTATATAGCTATGTTCTAGATTGTATATTTACTATAAAATGAATTCAGAATTGTAAGCGGAAGACTAATAGCTTGGTGGTTTGAGACGACTATGTAATATTTAAAAAAGGTTTACTTGTTGGGTTGCTATACAACATTACAAAATAAACTAACCAGACAAAAAAATAACAAAAAAAACTATATACAATTAGGGATGTTAAAGGTTTGACTCAACTTCAAAAGTCAAGCTGCAAGCTAACATAGTAATCGGGCTATCTACAGTATTATAACGAATATGTATTCTATAGAAAATGGTATATAAAATAAAAAAAACATCACATTTACAAATTGGGATTTTCATTAATTAATTTGCATCATAATTACTTAGTAAATGTAAATCATTTTCTCCAATTGACTCATGGATTGTCAATTAAGATAAATATAAAAACTAAATTTATAAAATTTTTTAGTTTTTTAGATAATTAATATTGGAGGTTTTGAGTAATAGATAATAATATAAACTATATTAAAAACTAACTATATATAATTATGTATTAGATTAAAGAAAAATGAAATACTTGTTTTATAAAAGATACTATTCTTATAGTTTTATAAGAAAATAATTATTATATTATAGATATATATCAAAGCTATTATTGCTATTACAAATATTTTGTTTATATAGTATAACAATATATTAAAAGAAAAAATATTATACTTGTTATTGACAATTAGCCTAAACAAATTTGTCTTAAATAGCAATTTTATATTATTTGTTTTATTATAAATTATTAAATATTATTAACTAAATATTATTTTTTCTTTCTATTATCCTTTAAACCATCTAGTAGTCAAATTTGTCTGCTAAAATTTTTTTGCTAGATTTTTTGAAATTACATCTAATTTTCATAAGCATCACTTACCTTTTTTCTAAAAAAAATAAAAAACTATAACTTTGCAGATCTGCTTGTAATTTTGTATTATATATATTAGTTGTATAATAAATATAACCTTTATATGAACTTCTGTATTTCTTTAAAAAAAAAAGATTATTATTAAATTTTAAAAAAAAATTTCTATTATATCAGCTATGACTTCTTTGCCCCTATCTAATAATAATAATAGCTATATATTTTTTGAGAATAAGAAAGGCTTTATACCAATTCTTATATTATATTGAAATTTTTTAAAAAGCCTAAAATCAAGCTTAAGCAATAAAAAAGAAAAGAAAAAGAAACCCAAAAAGTTTTTAAATAACAAATATTCAAGTATTATACAAATATTACATCACTGCCTTTAATTTTAAACTTCTAGTTCATATTAAGTCACTTTATTAGAGGCTTATTAATTTACTAGCAAATTATGAAGCCAGTTTTTCAAAATCAGTTAATCTTTTTTTCTTTTTTTTACAAATATTTTATTGGATTAAAATAGTGATTAATACGAATATATATATACTAATTAAGATGTTAATATTATTATTAGCAAACAATAGACTAATATAAGTTACAAAAAGCTAATTACTGTATCAAAATCGCTATTGTTATCTATTAGAGCATTTTTAAGCTGCTTTCTCTTAACTAATATTAGAACAAGGATCACAAGTTCCTTCTTCACCATTTTGAAACAAATATCATTAAAGCATTTTGAACAATAAAAAGGTATCTTCATATCTTCTTTCTTACTAAAACTATTAAAAACTATTTTGACAAGTTAGAGCTTTTGCTCTTACATATTCAAAATGGTTTGAAACAACTTTACACTCTTGAATTAAATATTTTGATTGATAAAATAATGCTAAAATTTTCTAAACAAAGCATCCACACTATTTAAATAAAAAACAAGCCAATTTTTAAAGGGTTTAAAGTTATATTACTTGTACTCTAGCTACATATACACTTTTTGCCAACTTTTTTTGTGAAATAGCAAAGTAAATAGGCTTAACCAAACTAAAAATCTGATTTATTATCTTGCTATATAGCTTTAATATAAAAGATTTTTTTAAAATATTTACATAGATAATTATTTTTCTAATGTTTTTCTTTTATATAATCTTTAATATAATAGTATTGAAGTTTGTGATTTTGTTAAAAAAATAGCGTCTAGTTTCTAAAAAAAAATAAAAATTGAAAAAAATATCCAACTTGATTGGAATATATATTCTGGTATTAAAATTAATAAAATATTAGCAGTATTTTGGCAAGACAATGGTTTAGTAATGATGCTGTCAACAATTTATTGTCTTGTTAGTAATTAATAAGAAGTTGTATGAAAAAGACAGTAGTCAAGAAAAATAAACACTAATATGACCAAGATACATGTAGTCTTTAGTGCTAAATTAAGAAAAAAACTAAAAATTTCTAAAATTATTGATAATTACAACTACTGTATAAATGGTATAAATATTGCTTACGATCTATAAATTCATAATAGTTACCAGTACAATTTACTAGTATAATTATTTCAAAAACACAAGAACTTTTTCTCGAGTAGATCTTGCCAAAAAAGAGTATATGTGGCAAGTGTTTTGATGATCTATGGTCAGGGTTTTGACCGAAACTTACTAAAAAAAAATTCAATGTAATGGTTTTACTATTACTCTAGTTACTCAAGGTATTATTTATAGAGATTTGCATTACTATTTGTAAAAATACAACATATTCTTAAATAGGAAAAACAAGGATCCAAACCTATAACGGTGTTAAAATAATTAATTAATTTATAAAGTTTGAAAATCATATGAGATGCAGTAAAGTATACAACAGTAAGCTCCAAATATATGAATTAACTCAAGACACAGAAAAAAATGAAAATTTGATGGTATTTTAATATGCAAATAATGGAAGTCTTATAAGTTTTTAAGATCAAGTTTTCAAGAACATACTCGGCAGATTAAATTAAAATTACTTATATATTTCATATATGATTTATGGAACATTCATAGTGCAGGATATTTCATTCACACTTTCACAGTGGTAATATTTCGCAACATGAAGACATTAGTAAAAGTCTGCAATCTTACACTTCAGATGATTCAGGTGCTATTTATAGAGTCATGCCTTATGTCGCACCAGAGGTTTTATCAGATCAAAAGTTTACACCAGCTGCAGATATTTATGGATTTGGAGTCATGTCAACTGGACAAAGACCTTTTGATGGTTGTAAATTTGATGATGAACTTACAGTAAAGATATGCTTTGGATTGCGGCCTGAATTTGCTCTTTGTACTCCTAATTGCTATATTGAATTAGATAAGCAATATATGGATTCTGATTCACAAAAACGGCCTACTGCTTGGAATGTTTATTATAAATGGAATAAAATTATAGAAAGTTCAGATGATGCAGATGAAATTAAAAAGAAATTCTTAGATGCCGATAAAATAGTCAAAAAAATTGCCAGTTATCTCGTCAAAACATCCTGATTAGTAAAATTATCAACACTCAAAGAATACCAGAAATTAGGTATTTATTTTAAAAATTACATTATATCACCTATTCATTTAAACCTAATTATGCTTATATTAGCAACTTTACGAAGTAAACCTATCGATTCTGTTGAAATTCCTGTTGGTAAGTACTAAATTAAACTTAAGTATTTATAAAATAAACAAATTTGTTACTAACTTTATATTGGTATTTAGATGATTGATTTAATCGCTTTAAAAATAATATAGTGTTTTATAGTAAACCTAATATTTTGACTCGACTAAGCCAAAATTTAAAATCAACTTAGCCGCTATACAAAATCGATAACCTTTGGTATGTAAAACAATATATAGTATACTCCAAATTATCCCAAACCCAATATTATAGAGTTGATTGATTGTCTAGTTTTTTTAAAATTCTCGACCATTTCCTGTATACATAACTAAGAACTGACTAAGACAAATTTTTAAAAAATCGACCGACTTAGTCGGTTAAATCGATTTATCGGCTAATGCCAAATCGACTACAATCACTAAAAGATATAAAATTTATTATTCTTATTATTTATAATTGTATTATCATATGAACAGAGGTCCAAAAATCCTCATTGATTGATTATCAGTAAGCATTTTAGCTTAATTTCATAATGTAGTTAATTATATTTGTTCATAACTAGAAGTTGATTTGAATAGTGTTGTTTTTGATTAGAGATACAATAGATTAGAGTTAGGGATCGGTTCTACATTCTTGATTCAAAATCAGACGGATGCATGAGTAATTTTATTATCTATTATTATAACTCGAATATAAAATGGATGTATAATTTAGAAATCGAAAAAAAAATATTTATCGAAAGCAAATACTGTATCATCACTTTATACAAATTTAGTAAAATCAGAAATTTTGTTCATTAATGCAACTCTAAGTTGGGAAATTTCACAAAAATACGTAATGTGCAATTCGACTAACAAAAAAATTTTTTCCAATATATTATAAATATATTATAAATTCTACAGCAGTTAATGTATTTATTATTGGTAAATAAATGATAATTCCATTTAAAATTTATATAATATACGTATACAGTATATTTTATCACTTTATTTAGGTAGTTGAGAAATAAAATAAAGAAAATGACATACGAGATGTCAAGATGCTATCATTATAACTTCAACAGAAACTATATTATAGATAGCTTATCCTATTTTTGCTTACGTGGCACTACACTCTGGACAATTAAGCCTTAACTCTTCTTTATCAGACGTTTTTGGTGTTGGAGCCTATAGCAAATCAAAGTAAATAAATCTATTGCATAAGTAATATAATAAGAAAATAAACAATAACAACATACTCTTGAAATAACGCGATCTATCATTTTGTAAAACCCGGTAGAGTGCTTCCACCATCTAATTTTTCCCAGGGGTGCTCATGACGAATTACATCTCTATCACGTTTATACACACAGATTTTTTTTTGCTTCGGGTCAATTAGCCAACCGAGTGTGACAGCCGTTCCAGGCGCAAAATAGTCATGCATAAATTTATGGTCCAGTTCTTCGAACTTTGATCTTTTTTCAGTGTCACTAACCTCAACTACCAAGGTAGGAGTAAAAGGCTGTCCTTGAAAACCCCAGCGTTGTGAATGGGTCAAGTTACATGATATATTTTTAGGTGTAAAAGAGACGTCAGGTGCCCTTATTGTTCTTCGGCCTCCAACATTGAAGTCAAACCCTCCTTGTGATGTTTTAATATCACCATTTTGTCGAGCAAAAAGATTCCATGTACAAAGTTGCCTGTTAATTTCTGCAACAACAACTTCAATACAATGAGTGGCTTGGGGTATTGCAACTAAATTTCCTTTTGCATTTAGATCGAAAAGATTGACAGGGTTATCATTAATTTCCAAAGTATGCGATTTTGGTTTGTCATTAATAAGTTCAAATTCGTCAATACAAGATGATCTTATATTACGCAAGATCTACGTACCATTTTGACATATATATATTTAATAATTAGGATAACACCCTTGATAATAAAATAGCCGATACAGTTTATATATCCCAAATATAATTATTATAATAATTATAGTCGAAGCAATACAGGTAATACGGAATGTTAAAAAACTTAAAGGCAATTTGCAATTCAAAATTAGCAAGAAACCACTAAAATCATAAAATATCATTTAATGAATTTAATCATTTTTAAGAGCATATGAACGAACTTGATTCATTGAGGTACAAAATTTTTATAGGGAGGTCACTAAAAATTATTAATCGTTATAGTCCGGTGTATAAAGAGTTGCATTCACAAAAAAAAGATATGACTATAGTTGTTTGGCGAAACCTAGGGGCTTTGCCAAAAAATTTTAAAAAGGTGAAACTAGCGAAGTTTGGTGAAACCAAAAATTGGCAAACAAATGAAATTGAAAATAGTAAACGAGCTCAATGCTACAACTATCATTTTTTTAAAGAAATGTGTAATTGAAGGATTCGATTATAAAATTTGATATTTATAGGTACTAGTGGGACTTCACAAGAGCGGTAGTAAATAATTCTAATGATGTATTAATTTATCTTTCAAGCGACCGCTTATCGAAATTATTTGACATGTTTTAGTTTCATAGTGTTGGTGGCAACGGGTCACAACACAGACCAACCAATCACCACCTAAAACAGAAACAAGACAACACAACCACCCTATATACTCGATACTAGAAGCGGATTACGATTTGGCCAGGTTAAGGCGTATCAAGTATATAGTGGGACCAAAGAGCGACTTTTATTGAGCAAACACTCCTCCCTTTTATTAGGGGCAAAACAAGCCCATATTTATAACTAATTTTACATGCGGGGGACAAAAAAGAACAGAATCGAATTCTAATCTAATTCTTCTTCTAATCTAAGATCTAAGCTAAACCCAAGCCCACTGCCACATCTACCTTTTTGGGCGATGCTTGGTCAGTGTTTTTGCCCTGCTGAGCGTCTCATGGTTTTTCTCCTTCGCCACAGCCGGGAAGTGCATTGTTCCGTGGTCTTGGGGCCATTTGAACGATATGATTATCGTACGCTTCTTCAGCGTTCTCCTTCTGAATTATTATGCCATTGGGGCTTTTCCAGGCTTGGCATTTGTTTGGGGCTTTTGGAAAAACTAAATTCTTCCGATTCCCCGCCGATTTCGTGGGCTCCGATTCGGGTCTTTTTTTTTTGTCACGTTTTCGGACCCGTGACGTCGATTTCGGCGCAGTGAGTTTCGTTGGGTTTGCCACCAACAATAGCCTGCTCTTACGATCATTGGCGATTCTCCAAAAATCCAGTAACAATTCTTAATGCCGTATAAAAAAAATAAAACAAAATAAATATCTATTGGATAATATGGATAATGGTATATAATGACGGTTATGAAGGTTTGCAGAATGGGATTGGTAATTACAGCTGTTTTCATAAATTCTGGGACACCTAAAAAAATTTGCCGATGGCCGAGTTCGATAAGTTATTGATTTCGGTATGATCAGTATAATAAAATAATGGGGAATTTACAAGTAAGGGCCTGAAAAGTGAAAATAATTACGGATAAGGGCCCAAATTAAAAATAATTACATATAAGGACCTGATTTTTGAAAAATATTACATATAGGGGCCTAAAATAAAAGCGCAACGCACGAAACTTATTCAAGATAAGTTTACATTATCAGGCGCATAAGAATGTAATCATTGATAATGTAATAATAGATTAATCATAAATCATAAATAAGAAGTGTCTTTGACTTCGTAAATACAATAAATTTCATTTATTTATAAAATTGCTAACAAACCATGACACTAAAACTTGAAATGACATTTACCGATATGAAAAGTGTTCGCTCAGCTCTAGAGAGTTATTCTGTTGAAACATTTTCGCCTTAAAGCACAGGACTAATAAACCCAACAAACTATTTGTTGTTTGTCCCACGAACAAAGACAGTGAATGCCCATTTATTGTTTCTGCTAACAAACGTAAAGATGGTTTTATTCATATCATAAGGCTAATTAATCATTAATCATGATCAAAATTGTCCAGCTTTTTCGGAAATGTTCAAAGCCTAACGCAAAATTATGCTAGTTTGAGCATTATCTTTTATATAGTATTTAAACGAAAGTGCTTATTTATCTATATAATATAATAAATGGGTGCCTTTGCGGATCACGTTTTTTCAACTATTGATATATTTGGGCCCCTATATGTAATATTTTTCAAAAATCAGGCCCTTATATGTAATTAGAATCGAAATATCATTGCTTTTGGAGATTCCTTTACTGGTTTGTTTATTAATGGGTTAAGATGTTTAATTATATTAACTGTTTTTGTTTAGATACTGGAAATGTTTATAAATTGACCAATAAAATATGGCCATCAAAGATTAATTATACTGGACATTATTGCAATGGAAAAATCTGGATCGAATATCTCGCTGATAAATTAAATATAGAATTAATTAATTATGCTTTTGGAGGCGCAACAACCGAGTAAGTTATCACGAATTAAAATATATTAATTGATTTAATATATGTTTAAACATTTCTATAATTTAACAGTTGTGATTTTGTCACGGGATATACTGAAACAAAGACCTGTAAATTTTATACACCCAGTATTAAAGAACAGGTTCAAACATTTATTTTCGATAATACAAATTCTGAACAATCTAACTCAAAAGATTTTAGTAAAACCATATTTACCGTATGTATTATTGTTTCAAGTGATAAATACTCGTTTATAATATTAACTTATAGATAATAGGTATGGGATACTGGAAATAATTATTATTTTTCCGATATGTCGATATCACCTATCGACTCGGTTAAATTGTTGATCAACATACTACATATTCTCGCGAAAAATATATCCACTGTATCTTTGTTATTAATACCTAATCTTCCAGACATATCGCGATTTCCAACTTTCAAGACTATGAACGAAACTGAAAGAAAAAGAATTTCAAAGATGATTGAGTTGCATAATAAATGTTTATTAGAACATTTGTTAAGATTTAGTAAAGAAACAAAAATAAATATTTTACACATAAGATGCGATAGGCTTTTAATATATTACAAACTGACTTTGGAATGAAAAAATTTGGAATTACAAATAGCATAGATGCGGCTACAAATATTTACGAACTTGATTTATGATGATAATATTAATAACCCTGATCAATATAAATGTGTCAAAGATAGTAATTCTTATTTTTATTGGGATGATTACCATTTCACCACTAAAATACATAGGATTATGGCAAATATTTGTGTTAAGACTTTAGAAATTTCTAATTTATTAACCAATAAAAATAGTAGTACGTTCTTATTTATTCGTTACAAATAAAAATTGATCTTATGATTTGGTCATGTGATAGAAGTATATAAAAAAAATATATTAATGCTTAATCAGCATGATTGTCGATCTTTCTCTCCATTGTCACTATAAACTATGATAAACTATGTCTATCTCTGAAACTAATACACCTGCATCTACCTCCACTAGTTTCACTGCAGCAGAAGAAAAAAATGTTCCCACCTTAGCTGAAATGGTTCGAAATTATAAAACAAAGGAGCTTATCGAATTTTTACGAAAAGAAGAAGACTTAGGTCTTGACGAAGATGACTTGGAAATTATTCGTAAGCAAAAAATAATGGGTCGTGACTTTCTTAAAATAACCGAGGAAAAACTTGGAAATTGGGGAATGCTTGGTGGTCCTGCAACTAGAATTGTAGACTTTATTAAAGAACTTAGCAAACGTAAATTAAAAGCCTTCTCCTCGTACAAGAGTTTGAAGGAAGTGTTGAAAAAATATGATATTGATGGTAACGGTATAGGCACGATACGTCAATTTTCACCGAGTAAGTTTTTAATACAGATATTTTGACATTACCGGAGCTGAGTTAACTTTTTTTTTCATTCCGTTTTTTAAGAAACCTATACACTCAAAGACGAAGACGATGAGTTGCAACAATGTATAAGGGAAATAAAACGCAGATTGGGAAATATGGGGACTGTACTTGCCGATAGCAACGAAGCTATGCGCTGTGAATATATCTCGACCATTCTTCATGCTTCTCTTTATATCGTTAAAGGAATCACAAACAAAGAACTTACCTTAGCTCCTCAACTCGAAATTGTTGGCGAAGAAAGTACCAGTAGAGTCGACTATGCGATTAAGGCCCTAGAAGAACTTATTTGTATCACAGAAGGAAAATTACATCAAGTGGTCATGGGGTTTGCTCAAAATTTGATCCAATGTGAAAGTGCATTGCAGACGAATAAACGTAAGAGAAAACGTAAGTCAAATGAAGAGTTTATGGACGATTATGACTATATCTATGGAATTGTTACGACAGCTACAGACTGGTATTTCATCCTTTATACCTCTGACGGAATATCTTGTACAAGCAAGAATCCTCTTAATATTCGTTTTACTGAGTCTGTTTTGAGAGAAGGTTCGGAGGAAGAAAAGGATGTATGTAAAAATGTGAAGCGGGTGATGGAGGTTATCGTAGGATTATTAAAGGATAGAATGGATGTTGAAAGGGAACCGGCAGCAAAAAAGCAACGGGTTCAAGAGTTTTTTGAAAATCAGGAATAATTACCTATAAATTATATGTAAGTACTTTAATTCTTTATAATCAAAACTTCATATCTATCTGACTCATTAAACAATTAAATATATCTTACCATTTTCTGGTTAGTTTTAACTGTCTTGGCGGTAATATGTCATTTACTAATTAAGTTTATATGGTAGAATAAGATAAGATAATTGAAAATATGTATAATTAAGCAAATAAGATTTTAAGTTTATTAATAATAAAGACTATTATGTTTTAAGATTAAGATTATTTTGATTATTTCAAAACCTATTTCAATTATTTCAATTTTACCTTTTCGTAAGTCACCTGAGATATACAGTAGACGATCATAGGGTTGTCCCGTATCTGCTAAAAGTCACCTGAGATATGTGGTGGACGATCGCAGAGTTGTCCCCCGTGTGCTCAACCCAGTGATTGACAGATTTGCAGGTATAGTATTTTATTACAGTTGACGATCCTAGGGTTGTCCCGTATGTGCTAAACCAAGGGATTGACAGATCTGAGGATCCGCACGTTGTCCCGTATCTGCTAACAATTTAGTATTTGTGCTGAAAATTCAATTTCTGTCCTGTACGTGCTAGATTTTAACTGTCAATTCACGTGAATTGACAGATGAAGAATCAGAAATGATTGGTCGAAGACACTATCGTTTATTGAAAATGACAGATTAATAGAGTGAGGGAAAATGTGATGTGAAATCTCCCGATATCTCGCGAAGGCCAATCATGTTGCGTATGGGACAGAATCGAACGAACGGTTAAGGTAACCTGTGGTACTGTAAGTTACCTGATATGGGAGATCGTCTGGATTCATAGGAAGACATTCATATGATTGGTTAATTTTGTCGATCTACCCGTGATTGCCCGTGATAATTAACCAATCAAAT